CCCGAAAAGGTAGATGAGGCTAGGAACCGGCAGCGGTCGGCGGGGTCTGGCGCTTTTCTAGATCTGCGGGTGGGGCCTGCGGCCACGCCACAGCCAGACTAGCGACAGACACAGAGAGCGGGGCGTATTTTCTTTTTCTCTTCGGGCGGACGTGGCCCCGCGGTTAGCGCATGGTCTGCGCGACGTTGGCCCCGCTCATTCTCTCGCCTCATGTCGGGGGCAGGGGCGACCACAGAGGGGCAAGCTCTGTGCCTGCGGAGCATGCAGATCGACATGTAACCGTTACGTCCGAGACACATCTGTCGGTGGCGTCGGCTGTCGGACGTAAGTACGTGTACCATGACTGTCCGGGATTCTGTACGAGCAGCAGCTGCGCGCGTCCATGACTCGATCGGCGGAAACGGCTGGACTCGTCTGAGTAGCGAAGAAGAAGCTTGAAAGACAGTCCAGCCAGGGAAGCCTGCTAGCGTCGGTATCACAGATCCGCCAAACGGGCACGTCACCATACCCCCTGCATTCAGGCATGTCGACAATATTACGGTCAGTGCGCGCAACTCGCCGAGTATTCGCGTACCTCGTCCAGAAGTTGTGGCTCGGACCTGGAGGCTTCGTAGCGGAACTAATGCTCCATCTCCCGTGTCTGCGCAGAGACAGCGCTGGAAAGTGATAGATTGGCTACCGTCTCCGCCATTTCCCGACGCAGCTGGATCTATGCGACTCGAACGGCGAGGCTCGGCGGTCAGTCAGAATGCGCTGCGTGTGAGGGACGATTTGCAAGACTCACGTTGAGGCTCGCACCGAAGAGACAATCGGCGTCTGCGTACCAGCGCTTTCTTCTGATATAAGGACCCCGGTCATCCCTTGCCCTTCTGAGGTGCACAGGGTCCTGATATTGTGAACTGCAGCCGGCTCATTCCATGTGTCGCTCTAGGAAAGCATTTGCAATGCCATCGTCCCGGCGGTGGTTCTCTTCTGCCTACGGCGAGGAGCTGTATAGCTTGGACGCTGCCCAAACAAGGAACATGAGCCGCCATTTATCCCATTTACGAACACTGGCAGGATGACACTGCGAAAATGACACAGAAGCTGGCAGCCTTGGCCGACTGCAGTTACTGTCGTGGGTGGTGCGCCTGCCCAACGTCGGGGCTCAAGCGCTCACTCTCGACCATTTTCTTCACCCAGAGTCCATCGCGCTTTCCATACAACGCCGTTGTCGCAAACATCCACCTCTACCTCACCCAGCTGCTCCACTACATTGCCGCCACGGCTCCGAACTCACCCGATGCGGAGGTAATCAGCCTGAAACTACGCCACTATTCAGGCACGCGCGGCAAATCATTGAGCTCAACACGCCCTGTGCAGGTGGTCTTGCTAGAGGTCATCTGACTTGCCTCATAGTAGGACTGCTAGGACTCTGTCAGCTGTGCCATCAGTCTCGTTCCGCGACCAGTCGGTGGACCTCACCAAGCCCCATTGTGTTCCTGTCTGGCGCATCCAGGATCTACTATGCACCACGCAGTCGACTTCATCACTGAAAAAGTCCTCCAAAAGCAGGGCAAAAACGAGCACCAAAAACATGATCGTCTTGACTCCAGGTATGTGAATTATTTGATCAGATATTCCGTAGAGTACACAGTTCGTCCAGTTCTGGTGTCCGCACCTTTCCGGTCTCAAACACAAGATGATTCAGAGTTCGTCGTGGGCAGGTTCCGCCCTCAAAATGGCACCAGAGACATTTGTGAACCACGCCTTCTGGTCTTTCAGGCACGCCCACTCTTCCGAACTCCCTGTGTAAGAGTACATGTCATCAAACATACAAGGGTTGAAGTGCCAAAGTGCTAAGCTGGTGACACACCTCTAAAGAACGTCTGGAAGTGCAGACCCTGAACGGAGGACTCGGCCACACCAGTGTCGCACAGAATGAGCCCTGTAGCGTGGAGCACGGACTGGCCATTGATGAAGACTTCAATTTTGCCTGTATGTATGTGCGATCAACTGTGCCCTGAAGGAGACTCGGTGGAGGGAAGCATACCATCTGCGTGACCCACAGTGTTCATCCTCACGCGCTCTGCGACGACCGTCCAGCGTCCAGGTGCAAATGTCCAGAGGCCGCAGCCAACAGAGAAACCGTAATCAGGGTTGTGGTATGATTGTGGCACGTCCAAGAGTGCGGTGGTGTTCATGTCATTCAACAGGATGTAGGCGTAGAGCTTGCCCTTGCCGCCCAGCCTGTGTTCCCCTCATGAGCACCGGCCACCCAGTGAGCCAAGGAAGCCACTTACCTCCACATAAGCCACAGATTGAAGCACTTGCATTGGCTCTCTTGTCGTCCATGTCACCATCTTGACTCGCGTGCGCGCAAGAGGATCAACTCAGCTGTTCAAGACACAAAAAGACAGAGTTCGGAGCACACAGATGCCTGGCAACTTCCCGCCCCTCTGCCACTTCCAGCCATCCTCAAACAGGACCTCGTAGCTCATGATGACCTCCTGCCACTCTCCACGCCGCTTGAGCTTGTGCTGCCACGTCTCTGGACCATGTATATAGAATCCAAAGCCACCTGGCGGTGCCATCTTGTTCCTGGGGTTGATGCTATCCTGTGCAAAGACAGCTTCCCAGGCAGTGGGATGTGCTGCGTCTGTGTAAGGTGGGATGACAACATTGTGTGAGTGACGAGAGACCTTGTGTATGCCGAGCTTGGAGTCAAACAGCGCAACATGTGCAACATGCGCCAGAGAGACAGCAGGGGCAGTCGTGAGACCCGAAACAGTTTGGGCATGTGGGATGGGGAAGAGAACGTTTGTAGCAGTCATGATGCAGGTCCAGGAACGAAAAGCACGGCCGATGCTGCGCAAAGTCTGCCTGTCCTGCTTTCGCAATTACTGGAGAACGTCCAGGAGTTGGGAATTCTGTGCCGTCTAGGGTGTTTACACTGTCTGCTCTGTTCATGCCATCCATGTAAGCGCTCCATCACATGTCACAAGCCTCAGACCTGAGATGGTGATCAAGCACACTGTACGGCCATGCCTCACACTGCGCACAGCAAGAGAGACATAGGATACACGAGGTTATTATACTGTAGTTAGAGTGTCTTAATGGGCCGACAGGCGTGGCATGGAGTCACTGGCTCTCTTTCTGCAGTAAACTAAGTGCTCTGCTTTTGATACTCATTTATGAGATCAGAAGTAAGCACTAAAATTAAAATTAAAATTGCAATATACCAGGAGCATATATATGCTGTATTTGAAATGTTTATTATCACATACCGCGACAGGGCTAGACATTGTAATCAGACAAGTGCTCGTTCTATATGAGCAAAATAGGCACCTAAGTTAGAGTCCAGCGTTTTCCACACTGCAGAGCGGTGTCTTGAGAATAAAATAAATTAGAGAGATGGTATAAACAGCATAGAGCCTACGAGAGAACATGAATGTTGTAGACAGCAGAGACAGAGTGAGCAAAATGCATGAGCAAAGCGGAACTCTGCTTGTGACACTCTGTCACGAGATGTAACACATCAGTCTGACGCGCGCATTACAAAACATCACGTCTGACCTAACACGGAAGGTGCGGAGAGTGCCGACAACATAGATGGCACAGAAACCCCAATCCCGGGACCCTCTGGATTACACAGTTTCCACACGTTCTCTACTACTCTTACTGAGCAGGCATGGCACAGGGTGGTAAGCACAGTTTTTTTCTTGAGAAAACTCAGGCAAAAGCAGCCAAACAAGGCCCAGTTATTCCTCGATTCTATGCCAATGCAAACTGAGGAGAAACTAGTGCAAAACCAGTCAAAATGGTCTAAAACACAGTAAAACTGGTGGAAAACTGAGTTTTGCCTTCAGTTTTTTTTTTCAAGTGAAAACCAGAGAAAGTTGGGGCCTTGTTTAACCAATTTTTGGCCAATTTCATGCCAGAAAAAAGTGTACTTACCACCCAGTGTAGATAGGGTTCAGCAAATACCAGTAATTACCTGAGAAGCCAGTACTTACTGATTAATAATCATTACCGCCAGTTCAGATGTTGTAATGTAATGCAAGAGATGGCATCACTCCACTACGTGATAAATACTCTCATGGTAGTTGTTCTCGTGGTGGCTATCCTCAAGGTTGGCATCTTTTGTGATTGGCATATGCTCACTCAGGTAGCATTCTCGTGACTCTCCTGAAAATATAAATTTACATATGTGTTTGTTTATGTGGTCTGTGAACACCCTTCTGGTTCTTGCCACCTGTGGCGGCTTGGGCACAGGCAATGAAACGGTGGGGTAAGCGGAAGTAACAGGATTGATCAGGGGCATGCAGCAGCACTGGGTATATAAAGGGTAAGGTTGGGAACAGGACATGTAAGGGCATAACAAATAGTAAGGAACCATTTACTTACTTTCAGTCCATCTGGTTAAAGATACGAGTAATACTCATACTGTACTGTATTGAACTTTGTATTTCCTGGTATTCATTGCATGTACCACTGGAGTTACAGATAGATCTGCCATACAAGAAGTGTACATCATTTCTGAGTCCCTGCCACAATTGAAATTGCCTGAGAATAGTCCACAAGGCCATGCACACTTGCCTGATAGTAAGGCTATGACTCAGGCATTGCCAATGCCTGTGTGCAGCAAGAACAGTCACAGTCGGCTTGTGTTGGGTCAGGTCTGCTAAGAGGTTGGGTGAGCGCCCAAATAGCATGCATTGTGAGTCTGTTACTTCCACAGCTTGAAGTATGCTAGGAAACACAGTGGTTAGTAGCAGTCCAAAACAAACTTGCAAAGCTGCTCACCCAGCCCTAGTATTTAAAGTCATTGGCCAGATGAGCTACATGTTACAGAGACTTGCTCACCTGAGGCACAAATGTAGGCCGTGTACACCTATGAATGCCAGTAGTCAGCATCCTTGAACAACATTCCTTGGTCTAGCAAGAACTGCAGAGTCTGTTGCTGTGCACCCCAAGGTGGCACACGGGCTGGACACAGTGTTTGTGAAAATGCGGGCAGGTCAGCACGGGCACATGCTTGGATGACAGTGAAAATGACATGGAGGGCACACTCAGGATGCAGCTGCCACCATATTGTGTGCAGCCCAGTGATGCATTCTGTGCTGGAGTACAGTGCGAAGCTGCCGCCATCACTGAAGGACCTTAACTCACTGCTCCCACTACTGCAGAAGGTGCTCCTTGTTTGTGGCGGCAATGCTGAACACTTGCTGGCTCTGTTCTCAGCCATGCACGCTGCTCTCCCCACCAGTGACACTGGCACCAGCAGCGTTACGGCAATGCATGGAGTCAGTGCTTGCACCGAGGCTCAGCAACAATGATGCGCTGCTCATGCATGACCAAGTACTAATCTGGCACTTGCCTGATGCCAAAAAGGTAGTTATCTGGTGCTTGAGTATGATCAACTGATGATATTGATGCCGCTAAAGCTCACACCAATTCCCCCTTCCTGTTATACATTACCAACAATTACAGGCTGGTACTTGTAATATATTGGTACTGTACTGTACTGTATTTAGTTGCAATGGTACTGGCAGTCCAGACACCAGGCTGGTATTTACTTAGAAATCACTGGTAATGGGATAATTTATTGCATTAAAATGGTATTTTTGCCAAGCACTGGGCATGGATGCACAGTCAAGACATATGTTATGACTAGTGGTGTGCGAGCCCGGCTTGGGCTCAAAGCCCAGGCTTGGGCTTGTGGCAGCGACAAGCCAAGTCCTGAGCCTGAGCTGAGCCCAAGCCCAGCCCGAACCGCAGGCTTAAGCCTGGGCTTGCTCACAATACAATGAATATCCTGATGCTATGAAACGGGAGTATATTTGAATGTAGTAGATTATTACTGCGTGTACTCACTGAATTCAGCCTCCAGAAGATGTACACTTGGGGAATAAGTCGAGTCGCAGTGAAGCCCACAAGCGCACGCCTACGGCAGGCACCAAACGGTAATGCAAAATCGTGCTTGGCAGGGGCCGTTGAGTCTAAAATATCAATATTATGTCTGGTATGTACATCTTAGATCTCTCCCACCTTATCCTGAACTCAGAAAACAGTAACAGAGCCGGTACACCCAAGCCTGGGCTTCCGGGCTGGGCTTGGGCTTGACTACGCTCTAAGTCTGGCCTTGAGCCCGCTGTCAGGCTTAGCTCGGGTCAGGCTTTTTGGGCCGGGCTTGGCAGGCTCGCAGGCTTTGAGGCCTGGCTTGGCAGGCTCGCAGGCTTTGAGGCCTGGCCCACACATCACTAGTTATGACCAGCAAGATCTTGCAGGCTAGATGACAAACAGCCCCAAAAGTGTGGATATATTGAGTATGCATGTGTGAACTAATTGAGACCCATTAGGAAAAATCTCTCCATACAATTACCTGCAATTATATGATGGCCCATATAATGTGATTACAATTGCATCATAATTGGAACAATATGACAATATGTATAATGGCACAACAATTACCAGCTGTTGTTTCCAGATTGTGCTCAGTAGGTGTAGACACCAAATTACTGACATGTAGCTCTAAGCAAGCTGCAAGGCCATGGTGCACAGATTGCCATCCATGCCATGATATAGCGAGATAGTGTCATCCTCCTGAACCAAGGAGAACAGAGATGACACCCATGCCATACCTGCTCTTGTCCAGCACCATAGAGCCAGCTTTTTCTTGTTCTCCAGGGCCCAAAGTGCAACTGGAGCTACTCGGCATGAGAGGCAATGTGAGTAGTGGTGCATGCAGTCAATCAGTGGGAGCGTCAGAGACTTCTAAGAGACTGTGACATCTGCATGGACAACTGGCCCATTAGGTGCCGGAACTACGAGAGCTGCTAGTGGCAGTGGAGGCAGAGGTTCTGGAGGAGGAGGCAGAGAAGGTGGAGGTGGAGGTGGAGGCAGAGGTGGCTGTGGTGCCACCAGTGACAAAAGGTAGGTTTGCAACTGGCCATCAATCCGCTCATCTGAGCCATCAGCAAATTGAGCACACAGGCCTATGCGCAGCAAAATGCGAAGGTCAAGTTGTCCAACATGGCCAGGAGGCTGCTGTCTGGTGTCCATTGTTGATTCACAGAAGAAGGACATGGCAACTAGTGATTTGACTGGCTCGGCTTCAAGCCAGCAAGCCAGCCAAGCCAAGCCTATGCAAGCCGGGCCAAAGGGTGCCAGCTTGGCAAGGCTTTTGACTCAGCTTGAATGTCAAGCCAGCCAAGCCAAGCTGGCAAGCCATGGCTTCAGATAATAAACTTATTGTGTTTAGTACTGCTGTTAGAGTGATCAGCAATAAAGTGCCTTCTGGCTCAGGACAGCAGAGCGAGTGCTGCAGGTCTCTGGCTGCATGCAGTCTGATGCCTGCTTGGCCACTGCCTCTCCCCTGAGCACTCTAGACTGTGACCACGCACGTGCCATATTGCCCTATGAGGATGCGGCAGCAAATTTGGAGGTCAGACATGCAGCAGGCAGACAGGTATCAATGAGGGCTGTTGTCACCGACATTCCAAGAGACAATGCCTGGCCCAAACATTGCCGACAACAACCTCGCAGGCATCAGACAAAAGCCAGCCATGATGAGAGAGCAATTCAAGTTGGTTCAGGCTGCCTGTGCCAGTAACTCCTGTTAGTTGCCAAGAGGCCACTGCAACCTTCATGCGCATTCGAGCAGCGAGTGCCTCTAGGTAGCACAACGACATCTGCAGGGCGCCCATACCAAAGTGCTGTACGACTTGCATGCTGCCGCTGGCAGATGAGCCCTCACATAGGCATGAAGTGGTTTGTTTGGGTGCAGCTGCTCGAAGACACGCACGAAACGTTGTGCTGCACCTTCTGCGGCTCGCTGGCACCCCTAGCATCCCCTAATGTAATAGGTGCTTGCCTTGTTGTGTCAGACTCCACTGTTTGCTGCTCGTGCATGCACCATCTTCAGACATTTTATTTGGTGCATCCTCTCTTTTGTATGAAGCTCAAGCTTCTGAAGAACTTCATCGACATTCCACATCTATATTATGCCTAATATTATGTATTTGTTGTACATCTTCATGTGTCTACGTGCAGCGGCTGTGGAACCATTGACAAGGTCAATCCACAACACCTGCCTAATTAGGTTGCAAGCCGCGGCCCAAGCCAAAGCCAAGCCACTGGCTTATGGCTTGCTTGCGGCTTGGCTTGGGTTTTCGCAAGCCTGAGCCTGGCAAAGCCGAGCCAAAGCCATCAGCTTCTGGGCCAAGCTGAGCCAGTCAAATCACTAGTGGCAACAAGTTGAAGAATCCCTGCTACACAAAATTCCAAGGTACAAAGGAATCAAATAGCCAATTATGGCTCACCGGACCGCAATAAGGACACAAACTGGCCTAGTTGAGGCGGCGTGTGTTGAGGCCGTGCGAGTTGCTGGTACGAGCACAAGCGCTTCTTGCAACTCGTCGGCCAGCTCCTAGACCGTACTCTAGGGTTAGGACTCCTAACCCTAGACTGGTGAGCTGCGAATTAGCGTGACTCGGGCGCTTTTCAATATATTCGGCATTTATTTTCCCGAATTTTGATTGTCGCACAAGCTCAATGTTGTCTGGAGCACACAATTATCCCATGAACTACTCAACCAGAACTACATATATTGCAAGAAATATCCTCCCCCTCGTCAGTTTCATGTGCACGGTCTGTGTTATCAGGCCAGTCAACATCTAGGACGGGCCACGGCCTTGGCAAGGGAACTTGAAACCAATGTGTCATCCACTGCACGAGGATATCCAGAGGGAGGGTACACTGTTAGAACGTGCTCCTTGTCAATATACACGGGGTAATGCTCACATCGGGGCAGTAGTCTCGGCACTCACAGATATCCGGATATACCGCTTTGTCTTCGCGCGGGTGAAGGTGCGAGAAAGCCCAAGAGTTCGGCCTAACACACATGTGCTCCCGACTGCGGCCTTGCCCGACGCGGTCTGCGCCCGCCTTAGTCACCGAATCGAGGTCACGGTCACGAAAGGTCTCTGAACTCTGAACTGACCAGGTTTCAAAAGTGTCACAGGTCACAGGGCCTGAACTGTTGGTCGTATCGCTACATTATACACGACAGTTGTCGCAACACTGTTTCAGATCACCCGTCTGCGGGCGCATTCGCATTTAAATTGACGCAGGCGGCAAATGTGGGAGGACGAAGTCTCCCCCGTCCCCTCTTGGCTCCAGCCCTAACGGCGATGATGAGGCTCGCACCAACGTTCTTTGCCCTCCTTACCTTCTGCGCCGCCGCGCTTGCGTGCCCTGGCGAGGAGGGACACGTCCACGCGGATGCCCATAAGCGCGAGTTCCCGCAGCTGCCTCTCACACCGCCCACCCGGCCTCTGGTCTGGGGTGA